ACCTCCAGCCTTGGGAAAGTCCCTCCATTCTTTTCCTGACAATCCATACTCGGGGTCTTGCTGCCTCTCACGTTCTTCCCTCCCACATAACTTTCTATTACTCGGGGTCAGCACTTTGGGCCTCATCCAACTTCTTCTGCCATTACTCGGGGTTCTTGAGGCCTCTCCATTCTTCCTCCATACTCGGGGTCCTTGGTTGTCAAATGAGATGTCAGGTCAGCAGTCTATCAGAAAATGATTGGATTCACTGAGGACCAGACTGAGAAAACCATTTTTCTTTAGCCCAGGAAGACCCTTTGATGTTGTTTGGCTGAATGAGCTGTTAGGAGGGGACACTTGACAAGAGATACGACCTTTTGAAGCCCATGTCCAGGATTTCCGTCTTTCTGAGTGTGGTGGCTCTTGATACACTGACTCCAGAGCTCAGTACTCCCTTGTGAAAGTCCCCAACACTTTTGACATGGCCTTTTCCTGACAATCCTCTCCATGCTGCGGTCATCCCTGCTGCTTGTGCACCTTTTTCTTCCACACTTTTCTCCCACATAACTTTCTATTAATGTGCTTTGATACAGCACTTTGGGAACATCCAACTTCTTCTGCAATTACCTTTTGAGGCTTTCCCTCCTTATGGAGGGTGTCAGTGATGGTGTCAGGTCAGCAGTCTTTCCCATATTGTGATTCCTACTGAACCAGACTGAGAAACCATTTAAAGGCTCAGGAACCCTTTGCAGGTGTTATGGCTGAATGAGCTTTAGAGTGGGACACTTTGAGCCGAGATTATTCCACCTTTTCCCAATATTCTCATTTTCTGAGATTGTGGATTTTTTTTTCATGAGCTGTAAGCCATAATCATCACAATGATGACAAATCACGGCTGGAACTATCTTGCTTTGCATGGAACTTTTTAAGTTGCTGCACTTGAAAATCAGATTTCTCATTTTTTGAGTTTCACCTGTATATGAGCCCAATACCCAGAGGGTTGGAGGACTGTAGTGGAGGATTGGAGGACTGTAGCGGGGGATTGGAGGACTGTAGCGGAGGATTGGAGGGACTGTAGCGGGGGATTGGAGGACTGTATGGGAGGATTGGAGGACTGTAGCGGTGGATTGGAGGACTGTAGTGGGGGGTTGGAGGACTGTAGCGGAGGATTGGAGGACTGTAGCGGAGGATTGGTGGACTGTTGAGCGGGGGATTGGAGGACTGTAGCGGGGGATTGGAGGACTGTAGCGGAGGATTGGAGGACTGTAGCGGAGGATTGGGAGGACTGTAGCGGAGGATTGGAGGACTGTAGCGGGGGATTGGAGGACTGTATGGGAGGATTGGAGGACTGTAGCGGTGGATTGGAGGACTGTAGTGGGGGGTTGGAGGACGTAAGCGGAGGATTGGAGGACTGTAGCGGAGGATTGGTGGAGGACTGTAGCGGGGAGGATTGGAGGACTGTAGCGGGGGGATTGGAGGACTGTAGCGGAGGATTGGAGGACTGTAGCGGAGGATTGGAGGACTGTAGCGGAGGATTGGTGGACTGTAGTGGAGGACTGGAGGACTGTAACAGAGGATTGGAGGACTGTAGGGGAGAATGGGAGGACTGTAGCGGAGTATTAGAGGATTGTAGCGGTGGATTGGAGGACTGTAGTGGGGGATTGGAGGACTGTAGCGGGGGATTGGAGGACTGTAGCGGGGTATTGGAGGACTGTAGCGGGGTATTGGAGGACTGTAGCGGGGGATTGGAGGACTGTAGCGGAGGATTGGAGGATTGTAGCGGGGGATTGGAGGACTGTAGCGGGGGATTGGAGGACTGTAGGGGAGGATTAGAGGACTGTAGTGGGGGATTGGAGGACTGTAGCGGGGGATTGGAGGACTGTAGTGGGGGATTGGAGGACTGTAGGGGAGGATTGGAGGACTGTAGCGGTGGATTGGAGGACTGTAGCGGGGGGTTGGAGGACTGTAGCGGAGGATTGGAGGACTGTAGCGGAGGATTGGTGGACTGTAGCGGGGGATTGGTGGACTGTAGCGGGGGATTGGAGGACTGTAGCGGGGGATTGGAGGACTGTAGCGGGGGATTGGAGGACTGTAGCGGAGGATTGGAGGATTGTAGCGGGGGATTGGAGGACTGTAGCGGGGGATTGGAGGACTGTAGGGGAGGATTAGAGGACTGTAGCGGGGGATTGGAGGACTGTAGCGGGGGATTGGAGGACTGTAGGGGAGGATTAGAGGACTGTAGTGGGGGATTGGAGGACTGTAGCGGGGGATTGGAGGACTGTAGCGGGGGATTGGAGGACTGTAGCGGTGTCCCCTGACTCTGAATCCTCTACAGGAGGAGATGTGGTCACCTGGTCATCCTCCCTGTCTATGAGCATAAGATGGGGGAGGGGCAGACCTTGTTCTCTGTGGAGGTCATAAATGGTTTAAATCAGATTTTCGACACTTTCCATCCGAGCAGTCAGAGAATATCCGAACACATTCCATGGCCATGATACAATGTATCACCGGGGAGGGGGGTCTATTATGTCTGCAGCCAGGCATGAAATTCATTATCTCATCCCTCTCCTCTATGGCTGTGCAATGTCAGCTTCAGTATTCCTCGGTATATCTGTCGTCCTCCTCCGCCATCCGTCCATCCGTCCGTCCGTCCGTCCGTCCATCCGTCCATCCATCCATCCGTCCATCCGTCCGTCCGTCCGTCCGTCCGTCTGTCCATCCATCCATCCATCCCTTCTACACATTCTATCTATCTAGATCTAGGCTTCCCCAGGCACCGCGGCGTACTTATATGTCGCGGTGCTCATGCGCACTGGCACACCCCTGGGACACACAGCGGTGCGATCCCGTGACCGCTGAGTTCGGTGGACACCACGGATCACAGCGCTCGGTACCCTTCTGCTGTGAGCGGGCGGGGTATCATGTGATCGCTATGACCAATCATAGCGATCACATGAGAACACGTAAAAAAAAAAAACCCGTCATGAATGTCTTTTAGTCACGACAGCTTGCTTACTATTGTGATGCTGTGATTAACCCACAGCTATCACATGGTACAGGGTGCTGTGATTGGCCCAGGTACCATGTGATAGCTATGGGTCAATCTGGCAAACCCCTGGGGTGCACAGCGGTGTGATCACATGACTGCTGAGTTCGGTGGACACCACGGATCACAGCGCTCGGTACCCTGCTGCTGTGAGCGGGTGGGGTATCATGTGATCGCTATGACCAATCATAGCGATCACATGATAACACGTAAAAAAAAAAGTCATGAATGTCTTTTAGTCATGAGAGCTTGCTTACTATTGTGATGCTGTGATTAACCCACAGCTATCACATGGTACAGGGTGCTGTGATTGGCCCAGGCACCACGTGATAGCTGTGGGTCAATTGCGGTATCACAAGTTGTCACGACTGAAAGTCATTTTGCTTACATGTTATCCTGTGATCACTACGATTGGTCGTCATCATAGCAGCCGGGTATCAGACACTGTTATCCCCTGCGTTCACCTGATCACAGGAACCTGGGCCTATCACAGCATTCTGTACCATGTGATTAGCTGTAGCCAATCACAGCATCACAATAGTGAGCAAGCTGTGGTGAGTGAAAGCCATTCATGAGAGTTAAAACAATTGCTGATAACAGTGATCATCCCTGTTCACAGCAATCACAGTGTACAGAAAACCCTCATCACCCCCCAGAGTAGTACAGTCTCTATGGTGTCTCTATGGAGTCTCTATGGTGTCTCTATGGTGTCTCTATGGAGTCTCTATGGTGACACTGCACTACTCTGGTGACAGGATGTGAAAAACAAATGTTAAAAAAACCAAACTGGAGTCAATGTCCCCGATTATTGTCACACCGATCACATGATGGCGCTGCACCGCACTGGAGACCGGATGTCAACAATAAATATAACTTCAAAAAATATACCATCTTACCAAATACCGCGGACTGTCTACTTCCAAAAGGGGTCATTTGGGGGGATTTGTACCATCCTGACATTTGGGGGGGATTTGTACCGTCCTGACATTTGGGGGGATTTGTACTGTCCTGACATTGGGGGGGATTTGTACCATCCTGACATTGGGGGGGATTTGTACCGTCCTGACATTGGGGGGGATTTGTACTGTCCTGACATTTGGGGGGGATATGTACCATCCTGACATTTGGGGGGATTTATACCGTCCTGACATTTGGGGATTTGTACCGTCCTGACATTTGGGGGGATTTGTACCGTCCTGACATTTTGGGGGGATCTGTACCGTCCTGACATTTGGGGGGATTTGTACCGTCCTGACATTTGGGGGGATTTGTACTGTCCTGACATTTGGGGGGGATTTGTACCGTCCTGACATTTTGGGGGGATCTGTACCGTCCTGACATTTGGGGGGATTTGTACTGTCCTGACATTTTGGGGGGATCTGTACTGTCCTGACATTTTGGGGGGATTTGTACCGTCCCGACATTTGGGGGGGATTTGTACCGTCCCGACATTTGGGGGGATTTGTACCGTCCTGACATTTGGGGGGATTTGTACCGTCCTGACATTTGGGGGGATTTGTACCGTCCTGACATTTGGGGGGGATTTGTACCGTCCTGACATTTTGGGGGGATCTGTACCGTCCTGACATTTGGGGGGATTTGTACCATCCTGACATTTGGGGGAGATTTGTACCGTCCTGACATTTGGGGGGATTTGTACCGTCCTGACATTTGGGGGGATTTGTACCGTCCTGACATTTGGGGGGATTTGTACCATCCTGACATTTGGGGGGATTTGTACCATCCTGACATTTGGGGGGATTTGTACCGTCCTGAGATTTTTGGGCTTTAAGAAATGAGATGGGCCGTCAGTACATCAAGATTGATCGATTTTCAGATTTATATCTCATAGCTTGTAGACTCCATAACTTTCACACACAGGGCAGATCTAGGAGGGTGCTGGGGTGGGCTGCCCCCCCCCCCCCCCAGAATTTGGTAATGCCCCTTCAGTTCTCAGTGCATCCACTGAAAGCCAATATAACGAGAAACTCTGATGGTGACATCTGATGTAAGGGTCCATTCTGATGGGGTAATTGATATCAATATATTTAAGGGGGGCTCTGATGGGGACCCTGATGTAAGGGGGTGCTCTGATGGGGACCCTGATGTAAGGGGGTGCTCTGATGGGGATCCTGATGTAAGGGGGTGCTCTGATAGGAACCCTGATGTAAGGGGGTGCTCTGATGGGGACCCTGATGTAAGGGGGTACTCTGATGAGGCCCCTGATGTAAGGGGGTGCTCTGATGGGGACCCTGATGTAAGGGGGTACTCTGATGAGGCCCCTGATGTAAGGGGGTACTCTGATGGGGACCCTGATGTAAGGGGGTACTCTGATGGGGACCCTGATGTAAGGGGGCACTCTGATGGGGACCCTGATGTAAGGGGGTACTCTGATGGGGACCCTGATGTAAGGGGGCACTCTGATGGGGACCCTGATGTAAGGGGGCACTCTGATGGGGAAATCTGATGTAAGGCGAAATTTGACATAAGGGGGCACTCTGAAGAAGATACTTAATGTAAGGGGGCACTCTGATAGGACCTTGATGTAAAGGGGGACTCTAATAAGGACTCCTGATGTAAGGGGGCACTCTGATGGGGATTCTGATGTAAGGGGGCAAAGGTCCTTTTTAACCACCCTTATCTAAAACAGCCGAATCCATACCAGTGTTTCCCAGCTTGTGACTCTGTGTGACAGACTGTCAGGGACTTACGCACAGTGCTGACATTACGCCCCCCCCCCCCCCGACTCTTTTTCCCTGCACCCCCAGATGTGATACGCTAGATCCGGCTCTGTTCACACAAGTCATACACACTGATTTGGGTTGTTTGTTTTATCTCAGCGGGGACGCAGATCCGGCACCTCCAGCACTGACTGTACATCATGGCAAGGGGTGTGCCGCCTGCTGGGGGGTCTATTGTCACTGGTGGGAATGTTTATGTATGAGGGTCTATTATTGCTGCTGGGGGTCTGTTACTTCGGGGGGTCTGTTGCTGCGGGGGGGGGTCTTGTGTTGCTGTTAGGGGTCTTCTGTTAGGGGGGAGGTGGCTGGCTGCTGGAGGGTCTATTGATGCTGGCTGCCGTGAGATCTGTTGCTGCTGCTGGGGCAGTCTAATGTTGCCCGGGGTGGACCTTTTGAACTTTTTTACAAAATGTTTGTTTTTTTTGTTTACATATTAAAAAATATGTGTGAAAAAAACAATGACATACATTTAATTTGGGTACAGCGTTCACCTACCTGTCCATCCATCCATCCATCCATCCATCCATCCCACCTTCCCCCTATTCATCCATCTTTCCATGCATCCATCCATCCTTCTACCCACCTGTCTGTCCATCCAACCTTCCACCTATTCATCCATCCATCCATCCATCTATTCTTCTTTCTACATACCTGTCCATCCATCCATCCATCCCACATTCCCCCTATTATTCCATCCATCCTTCTACCTATCTGTCCATCCATCCATCAATCCATCCATCCATCCATCCCACCTTCCCCCTATTCATCCATCCATCCATCCTTCTACCTACCTTTCCATCCATCCATCCCACCTTCCCCCTATTTATCTATCCATCCATTCATCCATCTTTCTACTCACACTGTCCATCCATCCATCCCACCTTCCCCCTATTCATCCATCCATCCATCCATCCTTCTACCTACCTTTCCATCCATCCATCCATCCATCCATCCCACCTTCCCCCTATTTATCTATCCATCCATTCATCCATCTTTCTACCCACCTGTCCATCCATCCATCCCACCTTCCCCCTATTTATCTATCCATCCATTTCTTCTACCTACCCGTCCATCCATCTATCCATCCCACCTTCCCCCTATTCATCCATCCCATCCATCCTTCTACCTACCTTTCCATCCATCCATCCATCCCCCACCTTCCCCCTATTCATCCATCCATCCATCCATCCTTCTACCTACCTTTCCATCCATCCATTCATCCATCCATCCATCCCACCTTCCCCCTATTTATCTATCCATCCATTCATCCATCTTTCTACCCACCTGTCCATCCATCCATCCCGCCGTCCCCCTATTCATCCATCCATTTATCCTTCTACCTACCTGTCCATCCATCCCACCTTCCCCTTATCCATCGATCCATCCATCCATGCATACAGTGCATATAGGGTCACAGTGTTGTCACCTGATAACAGGAAGTGCCTAAACAAGGACTTTCATGGCAGAATCTGTGGGGATTATTTTAATGAAAGCCACAGAATGAATATGTTACAGACTATACAGTCCATATATTGTCCCTGCGGACAAGACACACCGCATGAAGGAGAACACGGTACGCGGGATGAAGAAGAACGCGGGATGAAGAAGAACGCGGGATGAAGAAGAACACGGGAAGAAGGATGAAGAAAAGGGGATGAAGAAGACTGTGGGACAAAGGAGAACACAGGATGCAGGATGAAGAAGAATGCAGGAAGCGGGATGAAGAAGACCGTGGGACGAAGGAGAACACGGGATGCAGGATAAAGAAGAATGCTGGACGAAGAGGAACATGGGATGAAGAAGAACGCGGGATGAAGAAGAACGCGGGATGAAGAAGAACACGGGAAGAAGGATGAAGAAAAGGGGATGAAGAAGAATGTGGGACAAAGAAAATCGTGGGATGCGGGATGAAGAAGAATGCGGGACAAAGGAGAACACGGGACAAAGGAGAACGCGGGACAAAGGAGAACGCGGGACAAAGGAGAACGTGGGATGTAGTCGAACGCGGGGACGAAGAAGAACGCGGGATGAAGGAGAACGCGGGACAAAGAATAACGCGGGGGGGACTAAGAAGAACACGGGACAAAGGAGAATGCGGGACGTAGGAGAACATGGGATGAAGAAGAACGTGGGATGAAGGAGAACGCAGGATGAAGGAGAACACAGGATGAAGAAGATTGCGGGACGAAGGAGAATGCGGAATGAAGAAGAACATGGGACAAAGAAAATCGTGGGATGCGGGATGAAGAAGAATGCGGGACAAGGAGAATGTGGGACGAAGGAGAATGTGGGACGAAGGAGAACGTGAGACGAAGGAGAATGCGGGACGAAGGAGAACGCGAGACGAAGGAGAACGCGGGACGAAGGAGAACGCGGGACGAAGGAGAACGCGGGACGAAGGAGAACGCGGGATGAAGGAGAATGTGGGATGAAGAAGGTTTTTTCCGTAAGAGAAATTGTGAACCTTTTACGAGGATCGGTGTCGCTGGTTCATTCGCAGACGGCGGATTCCTGGAACCAATCCAGTTTTATTGTCCTCGGCGCTGAATCATTGCGTGTTACCAGCGGGCGCCCGAGGCTGTTCCACGCCGGCGATGAGATCATGTAGACAAGAACCAACGATGCCAGATCCTGTCACTGCGCTGAGATCATCCCAATCATTGTTGTTATAAAGTCTGAGAGCGGGAAGAGCCAATCCCATCCGACTGTACCAGAGGAGCTGACACTCTAATGTCCCCTCCCCCACAGTCCTATCAGTCTCTGTACCAGAGGAGCTTACACTCTAATGTCCCCTCCCCCACAGTCCTATCAGTCTCTGTACCAGAGGAGCTGACACTCTAATGTCCCCTCCCCCGCAGTCACATCAGTCTCTGTACCAGAGGAGCTGACACTCTAATGTCCCCTCCCCCGTAGTCCCATCCGACTGTACCAGAGGAGCTGACACTCTAATGTCCCCTCCCCCGTAGTCCATCCGACTGTACCAGAGGAGCTGACACTCTAATGTCCCCTTCCCCACAGTCCCATCCGACTGTACCAGAGGAGCTGACACTCTAATGTCCCCTCCCCCGTAGTCCCATCCGACTGTACCAGAGGAGCTGACACTCTAATGTCCCCTCCCCCACAGTCACATCAGTCTCTGTACCAGAGGAGCTGACACTCTAATGTCCCCTCCCCCACAGTCCCATCCGACTGTACCAGAGGAGCTGACACTCTAATGTCCCCTCCCCCACAGTCACATCAGTCTCTGTACCAGAGGAGCTTACGCTCTAATGACCCCTCCCCCACAGTCCCATCAGTCTCTGTACCAGAGGAGCTTACACTCTAATGTCCCCTCCCCCGCAGTCCCATCAGTCTCTGTACCAGAGGAGCTGACACTCTAATGTCCCCTCCCCCACAGTCCCATCAGTCTCTGTACAGAGGAGCTTACGCTCTAATGTCCCCCTCCCCCGCCCCGCAGTGTCCCATCAGTCTCTGTACCAGAGGAGCTTACACTCTAATGTCCCCTCCCCCACAGTCCCATCAGTCTCTGTACAGAGGAGCTTACGCTCTAATGTCCCCTCCCCCGCAGTCACATCAGTCTCTGTACCAGAGGAGCTTACACTCTAATGCCCCTTCCCCCACAGTCCCATCAGTCTCTGTACCAGAGGAGCTTACGCTCTAATGTCCCCTCCCCCGCAGTCACATCAGTCTCTGTACCAGAGGAGCTTACGCTCTAATGTCCCCTCCCCCGCAGTCACACACTATTATACATTTATATATCTCTGCCATATGCTGCAGCGTTGATGGGGGAGGTGTATTGTAGATCCCTATGGTGGGGGTGTATTGTAGACCCCTATGGTGGGGGTGTTTTGTAGATCCAAGTGATGGGGGTGTATTGTAGATCCCTATGGTGGGGGTGTATCGTAGATCTGTATGGTGGAGGTGTATTGTAGATCTGTATTTGGGATGGAGAGGGTTAAAGGGTGCTGAGACATTGAGAGGGGTCTTGGATGGGTTGGGGGGGGGGGGGTCTCGGTGTGTCTCCTCTCCAGCTCTCTCCTGGGCTCTGGTTGGGTTGCAGCCAATAGCAGACATCCTTCCCTGTGTATAGGGGGGGGGGGGGGGGGCTTTCGCTGTCTCTGGATTATCTCTCCCTCTGCAGGACTCTAGCTATGTTTAGCTGAGAGGCCACAAAGCGAGAGGCCACAAATCCTCCCCCCCCCCCCCACCATGAGGGAAGATTTACAGGGGGGGGGGCACCCCACAGCCTCCCCACTTTGAAGAGCTCAGAGACTCTGTGTGATCTCACCGCTGACAACTGTGTGACACAATTTACAGGTAGTTGTCAGACTGGGGGGGAGGGGGGGCAGTGATGGGGTGCGATTCCTGCAGATGAGAAGTTCAATATCGAGTTCATTTCCAGCTTCCAGCTGTACGACCCTCAAGAGCCAGCCGGCCGCCCGCCCGGGGAATCCTCCGAGAGAGCCGGCCCGGGGGAATCCTCCGAGAGAGCCGGCCCGGGGAATCCTCCGAGAGAGCCGGCCCGGGGAATCCTCCGAGAGAGCCGGCCCGGGGAATCCTCCGAGAGAGCCGGCCCGGGGAATCCTCCGAGAGAGCCGGCCCGGGGAATCCTCCGAGAGAGCCGGAAGGGGAATCCTCCGAGAGAGCCGGCCCGGGGAATCCTCCGAGAGAGCCGGCCCGGGGAATCCTCCGAGAGAGCCGGCCCGGGGAATCCTCCGAGAGAGCCGGCCCGGGGAATCCTCCGAGAGAGCCGGCCCGGGGAATCCTCCGAGAGAGCCGGCCCGGGGAATCCTCCGAGAGAGCCGGCCCGGGGAATCCTCCGAGAGAGCCGGAAGGGGAATCCTCCGAGAGAGCCGGCCCGGGGAATCCTCCGAGA